TGATTTATTGAAGTACATCGTCACAGGACACCTGCAGAAGGTTCAGTTTTTGCCATTTATAGTAACAGGCCAGATGTGGTGTTGCCTGCTTCAGGCTGCGTTGAAATCCCACCTCACCCCCCAGAAGGCCCAGAAGTCTAAATATTTCCATCTCCACATGTTCTCAATTTTCCTCTGACTGAAAGCGCTGTTTTCTGATAGCTTGTCTATAGACAGAGCAAAATCGCACATTATTCCTTTTTTTCTTTCTGTGTAACACATTATAGTATGCAGTATGTCGTTAAAACCACCACAAACAAATAGTAAAAAGGAGAATGGAATGAAGCAATACTGCTCTGCCAGAACAGATAAATCACTGAGGAGTTATTTCATAAATGCTCAGCTTAATGATTGCTTCTCAGAAATGTAGTCTTTCAGAATTTGTATTTTTTTAAATATTGTTTTGTAACTTGAGGTAAACAGCTACATCCTTATATGATTCAGTTTGACTGTACATTCATTTCAGGTTAGATATTTACAATTACACACATTTGTACAATGCATCATGTAATTGTACTACAACTTCGTAAGACTTAAATTAGCAAAATACTGTATATAATTTTTCCTTTTGATAACATTTAAAAAAATATCCATGGCAACATAACATATGAGAAAAACAACAACAATGTGTTCTCTACACTTAAACAAAAAAAAAGTCAAATTAAGTCTAAGAAGAACTATAAAAAATGTTTAATGTTTGATTATAGAAAAAGCTTGTAAAGACTCAAGAGAGAGGAATATGTGGGGGCATGTGTCAATTTGATTGATGACCACCATACCCCTTTTAAGGCGGGACTTCCTGTTAAAGTTCCGCCCCTTTTAATGTAATTTTTTGATAATTCCCGTAATTCTTATAAAACTTTTTAAATTATGATTCTGGTGTTGTACTGTAGTCAAACAAATTAAAATGGAATTATAATGTTATAATATATCATTACATTTATTTTAATTACACTTTAATTACCGGAATTATATATAATGTACCATTTAATTTAATTAAACTGAGAAGAATCTATGTCACGATTACCAGCGATCGTATTCCACTAGATCGCTGGTTCTCACTCACAACAACCATGGACTACACTTCTGCCTTTGATGGACTATATATTCATACATGCACTTCGCCCAGACACACATGCTTACTCATCTAAACTGATTTCATTCACACCACCTGAAAATCGTCAGACACTGATTGCACTCACTACCTAAGCCACACATTCACCCTTTCAGTTTGCTGAGTCTTGTTTATCCTGTGATGACATTACAACGCGTTTTCCCTGTCTTGTTTCCCTTGTTTCAACCCAGCCTTGTTTATCCTTGTTCTTCTGTGTAGCCGCCTGCCTTATGACCTAAAGCCTGTTTACTGACTACGATTCTGGATTACCTGTATATACCCGCTTGCACCTGTATTGACTATTGCTTGCCTGACTACGATTAAACCAGCATATTGGATCTTACCCCAGTTGTGTGTGTCATCCCCCGAGGTTACAATCTAATTACCGGAATTATAAAAATTATATTTAAAAGGGTGGGGCGGAAGTCCTGCCCTAAAGGGGCGTGGTGATCATCATTCAAATTTTGACACATGCCCCCACATATTCCTCTCTGCCTCAATATAAAGCCAATAAACCTAAAAGAATTTGTAAAATGATATAATATAATGATATAATATAATACGTTTCCCAGTGATGGGTTGCAGCCGGAAGGACATCTGATATGTAATACAAATGCTGGATAAGTTGGTGGTTCATTCCGCTGTGGTGACCCCTGATAAATAAAGGGACTAAGCCGAAAAGAAATATGATTAATATAATATAACTTATAAATGTATTTATATTATAAATCAGTGGTTAGCACTGTCGCCTAACAGCAAGGTCGCTGGTTCGAGTCCTGGCTGGGCCAGTTTTTTCTGCGTAAAACATATGCCAGAGTAGTTGGCGGTTCATTCTGCTGTGGTGACTCCAAATAAATCAGGGAGAAAATGAATGAATAAATAATACAGTTGCAGTCAGAAATATTAGCCTCCCTGTTTCTTTTTTTTCTCCAATTTCTGTTTAACGGAGAGAAGATTTTTTTCATCACATTTCTAAACATATTAGTTTTAATAACTCATGTCTAATAACTGATTTATTTTATCTTTGCCATGATGACAGTAAATAATATTTGATTAGATATTTTTCAAGAAACTTATATGCAGCTTAAAGTGACATTTAAAGGCTTAACTAGGTTAACTAGGTTAAGATTAGGGTAATTGGGAAAGTTATTGTATAACGATGGTTTGTTGTACACACACACACACACACACACACACACACACACACACACACACACACACACACACACACACACACACACACACACACACACACACATTACATTATAAAAAAATACAGTATCACAAATTCTTTTTTCTATCAAAATTATTTTAGTCATTAAATGTTAGAAAGACCTCAAAAAGGTGATACCGATTAAACACTCATACATTTCTACAGTTAGACAATGCTATTTTTGTCACTCTCTTAACAGCCTATTGGAAACTAAAGACACACCCGAGACAAGGAGTTTTTAACAGATGTTTGTTCGCGCCTCAATAAATTATTGACTGTTTCTAAAAATTTCTCTCTGTTCTTAAACAGTGGGTGGAGCATTAGTTTAAAAGTACCCTGGTTTGAATTAAGCTGACAAGAATATATGATCTTGTCACAAACAATAAACCACACAATTGCATGAAGGTGTTGTTTCCTTTAAATGTATGTAAACCAGTTTCCAGATTCTTTTATTATATTGTTCTGCATTGTATTTATTATATTGTTTGGGATGTTAACAGATTGGCCTGGGTCTTTGACTCTGGCCATGTCAAACTCAATCATTCTTTGCTTATCATGAGCCTCTCTGAAGATCTGTTAGTAATTTATTAATTATTTCTTCACAATTAATTCAATAAAGTGTTGTGTAATTTAATTCCCAAGACTTGTTTTAGTATTTTCAATCTGCAATTGAACTTGCAAACTTCAATCAGTGAAGAGTTCATGCTCTAATGCATCTGCAGTTAATATTTACACTACCTGTTTAGATTTAGATAGATCATTAAAGGAATGGGTCACCCAAAAACAGAAACATTCTGTCATCATTTACTCACTTTCTTGTCATTCCAAAATTATGTGTCACTTATAAATCCAAAGATGGCCAAAAAGGCACACAAAATAATTAATTGAATCAAATCATTTAAGATGATTTAACACATTGGAAATAACTGTCATGAGAAGAAGCACTGTAAAAAACAAAACAAAAAGTTGACTCAACTTAAAATTGTAGGCAACTAACTTTTTTAAAGTACTGTAGTTGATTCAATTTAAGTTAAGTCAACTCAACAAAGCTTTGCATAAAGTTGCCTTACAATTTTAAGTTGAGTTAACTTTTTTTTTACAAGGAGTAATTGGTAGAAACAAGAACAAAGGAAACTGTAAAACAAAGATTAGTGATTTAATGGCTTCACAGTAAAACTCAATAAGTTAAGGTTAAACTTAAAGCACTTGAAGAAACCGATCGTAACAAACCATTTAAGTTCAAAAAGTAATCCTAATGACTACTGTGAACTTAATTCATTTGAGTTAACGAAGCAATTTGAGCACAGTAAAACTCGATAAATGAAGAAAACCCAAACCAACTGAGTACTGTAAAACCCAGTAAGTTAAGGCAACTCAAACCATTTGGGGAAACTGATTGCTACAAGCCATCTGAGTAAAAAACTAATCTATATGAGTACTGTGAACTTACTCATTTTAACTTGAAGTATAATGAGGTGTTTAATTAATTCATTACTTTCAACACTGAGTTCAAAACTCTTTTCAAATGAGTAGAATTAACTCAATTTTACAGTGTAGAAAATAAAAAAAACAAAAAACAACAACAACAACAAAAACACAACTGGGATATTTTTCTGTTATGGTTAGGGTTCTGTTTCTGATAACAACATTTCATGTTTTTATGTCCTTTTAAAGCCCACTAACTGTGGGCAAATGAAACACTTTTTAAAATATCCTATTTTTTAGAGTTGAATAAATATGCAGAGGCGTGCAGTATTTCCAGATTTAGCAAACGAGTTAACATCAAGATTTATTTTAGATACAATAATATATATATTTTTTTCAGTTTTGCCAATGACAACAATTCCAAACACAGCTGGAGCAGAACATTCGCACATCATCAAGTGTGCCAGTGATCCAGTGATCTGTAAAGAAAATCACTTGCTTTCTTTCAAAAATAATGCCATTTTCAACTAATTGTTTAATTGAATGATTCAATGAAACGTTTAACCGGGTTATTTCAACCCTAATTTGAGTAAAATATGGATTTGAGTTTAAATAATCTAGAATTGTTTTAGAATGTAGTGGTTATAAAATGGTAAGCAGGAAGCACATACTTTTTGATGTATTCAAGATTCAATCCAGGGATAGCACAGGAAAGTAAATGATTCCACGTTATCTGGATTATATTACATTTTTAAATTGCATATTAAAATAACTTACAATCAGATTCCTTTTAAAGTTACTTTTTATTAATCACACAAATATTGATGAATAATTGTGAATAATGAATGAAGTGAGTACAATTATTAAGTGTGCAAAATTATTACAATTTCATCATCAACTTCCTGTTCCATGTTACAGCAGGTTTTCTACCTTTTTTAAGTAAAGTCAACTTGTCGCTGCAACAGTATTACTCACTTTTTAGGTGAAAGTAACCAATTTCTTACAGTGCATTTTGTACAGTGTACTGTGCTTTTACTATCATTAAAAATAATGCATGACAGACTTAATCCCACACACACACTCAGCAAAAAATATTGTTTCATAATTATCATTAAAAAAAAAAAACAGACATACAGATTTGGAATGACATGAGGGTAAGTAAATGATGACAAAATGGTCATTTTGAGGTGAAAAGATATAAAACAGGAAAAGCTATGAATCAACAAGTTAACTCATGGACAACAAGCAAAATAAAGTTTCCTCTGGAGGTATTATGACGATATTCCCTTGAGGTCAAACATCTTTATGTCCAAAATTCTCACTCCTTGACTTTAGCAGACTTCTCATTTGGGGGGATTTAAGCACTTTCTTATTTTCCTTTCCACACCCCCACGACAATTTCTTTTTCCCCGACCAGCATTAGAGGCTGTGACATTTGAGCACATCACACACATGCAGCCCACCTCCAGCACAGCATTACTCACAGCGAGTGTTTAAAAGCACCCGCTCAGACTCACAGAGGCTCAGTGTGGGCTTTCAGATACATGTGGGACAGTGGCGGAGTACCAGCACACAAAAACAACCCACAAGGCATCTTAGTGGCTGTGGAGCATCTGATTTACTTCAAAATAATCTGATTACATGCAGAGAGAGACTAACGTACACAGAATGTATGCGCCCGGGGCCGTGCTGGCCCTCTGCCTGCCCTGCTTTTTAACTGGGATCGTGTTCAGTTATGAGTATGGAGAGGATTACTCTGATTCCTACTATAACGAGATCTCCAATGGTGACCGCGTGCAATGTAAGTCTTTTTCAATTCTACATGTCTCTTTGTTTTTAATCTGCAAACATTCATGTATTGTTTGTGTCATTTTTTTCTGTCAGTTGAATTACTAAAATAATGTTATACTGGCAAATTAGTGTATGGCAAAGTATTTAAAAAATAGAAATACTGAGTAAATGGGTATATGAAAATGTTTAGGATATTTGGGAACACAGACATTTTAATATTTCCAAAAAATATAAAATTTGTGAAAATGATAATAAATATTAGATGGCTATTTAACTGGTCATTGTTATATGTCATGTATTTCATAATTTTAAAGTGCTAAGATCAATATTATTAGTTCACTTTAATAATTACTTTTGATTGGCTACGGAATTAACCAATGTTGTCTAATGAAGTTTTAATTATTTATCTGTATTTGTAATGCACAGAGCTATGGAAGTGCAATGTCATGTGTCCTGACCCATAGCTTTCGGAAATACAAAAGTGTTGGCTGCTTCCATAAGTTTTAAAAGACGAGATAAAAGATTTTTTACAATGTAGAGGTATATACTTTAGTTTTTCTTTTTTCAGCCCAGTGGTTTCTGATTGAAAGGAGGCACACTGTAAAACCCAAAAAGTTAAGGTAACTCAAATCATTTGAGTAAACCGATTGAAACGAACCATTTAAGTTAAAAAAAATAAATTCCTAATAAGTATTGTGAACTCAATCCGTTTGAGTAAACAAAGCAATTTCAGCACAGTAAAACCCAATAAATGAAGAGAACTCAAACCAACCGAGTACTGTAAAACCCGATAAGTTAAGGCAAAAAAACTAATCTATATGAGTACTGTGAACTTACTCCATTTAAGTTGAAGTAATGAGGAATTTAATAAACTCATTACCTTCAACACAAGAGTTCAAAACTCTTTTCAAATGAGTAGAATTAACGTTCAGTCAATTTTGAGTTAACTACACTCATTTCATTTGAAAAAGCTCACTGTTGGGTTTTATAGAGCAGCAGAAACGTTTTTCATTGTAATAAAATCATACTGTACTTAAAACAAGTCTGAACTGATGTTTCAGTGTTTTTTCAAATGTAAATATTGTTTTAATCTTAGCTAATTAATGTTGATTGTGTGACCGTTTTATTCTATTAAGCAGCATTGTAATCAAATTATTTCAGGGTGCAAAACTGGCTAAAAATCAACTTTACATTTCAACATTAATTGTATGATAGTTTGGTTGATGTTTAAACATTAATTCGATGTTGGTTTCAGTGTAAAAAGTGATTTACATTTAGTTAAATAAATGCTGATTTTGTAAACATTTTGATCTATTTATCATCGCTATGTTAACATTATTTCAGGGTGCAAAACTGCAAAGTCAATAATAAATTTTAATGTTGTTTCAATGATATTTTGGTTGATGTTTTAACATTTATTCAATGTTGATTTAACTTAGGTCTGCTATCTGGGTTGTGTATGGCTTTTTACTTTCAAAAATAGAAATATTGAATAAATGGGTATATGCAAACTTTTAGGATATTTAGGAATACAAATATTTTAATATTTCACATAAAAAATATATGAAAATAACAATGTATATTAGGCAGCTATATAACTGGTCATTGTTATATATCATATATTCTATCATTTTAAACTGCTAAAACCAATATTATTAGCTTTCTTAAGAATTTGTCTTTGGCAGAACAAACCACTGTTGTCCAATGAGTGACCTACCTGACTAACCTAACCTAAGTTGACCAAATTAGCCTACACTGTAAAAAAATGATATGATTAATTAGTCCTGACAGCATATGTTTTTAGGTCATTGTAACTTATAACACTAAGCTAATCATGTCCTAATTTAATTTTAAAAATTATGCAAGTTAGCTGTTTTAAGTCAGTTTAACATAATATAAGTTGAATGGAAGGTTAATTTGGTTTAGCTTATAAATTGAGGGCAACCAGGATTTTTTACAGTGTAGTTAAGCCTTTAAATTGCATTTTAAGCTGATTATTAATATTCACACTATTAATCAGCACATTTTATTAAGGGATGTTCCATAAACAAATTTCGGGAGGAGCACGATCAGTCTTTGACAAGGCTAATTCATCACAGACAATCATTCTATTATCCAATCAGATCAAGACCAAACCCTAAACAGTCAAACATGTCATACCTCCATTTTCTCTTGACTTCAGCATCCCTCCACCACCCTAACTCCACACTATTAAACCTGATACCTACTTAAATGTGAGGGGGGAGTGTTGTGGAGCCGGGCTAGACATGTGCTCGGGCCCTACCTCTTTATATCATGATAAAGGTAATAACACGAGTCTATTCTGTGTGAACTTATAAAATATCTTAAAAAGAATAACAATTTCACAGCAGGGATAATAATGTATTTAACATATAACACACACACAAGCACGCATGCACGCACACACGCACACAGTGTTAAATATTTATCTGTATTTGTAATGCACAGAGCAATGGAAGTATAATGTCATGTGTTGTGACCCATAGCTTTCAGAAATACGAAAGTGTTGGCTGCTTTCATGACATTTGACATTTGCATACCTTTCCACTGATGCTCTTCTGCAAACTGAAGCCTGGAGCTTAAACATATTAACCAGAATATGCTTATGAGGATCATAAAGGTTATTCATTTTCAGAGGACCTGTCTCTGGGAGTAGTCCAATATTGTGAAACAAGCAAAGCTGCAGTTAGCAATTCTTCTGTTCACTATAAACTCAGAAGAAAAGGGTTAAAGAAAGCCAAAAATATATATTTAAAAGATCCAGCTTTTTCTGCATGTGATGACTGTATTTTAAATGATGGGCTTCTGCTCCAGTTTGGGAAACTTCCATTCAAAAGGACTGAAACAGACTGTTTTGAATATTAATGTTGTACATAGTGAAAATTGTGTAAGAGGTATGTTTGACTTTGTGATTTATTGTCATTTAAATCAAATCATGCTTGGTGTTTTGTATGATATCAAGCAAATTTGTGGCCAAAGCTCTTTTCAGTTCCCTGAGTTTTGTTCTTCTAGATTATTTTCTCTTTGTATTTCCTGTTTTATTCAATATACATGCTTTTATTAAACGATGGATGAAGTGTAACTATAATAATGTCACCTCAATGTCACTTACTGATTACAGTTTAAGGGAAGTTATATACTATTTGAACCTATAATTCATTTTTAATCAGTGTAATGGCAATCCCAGCAGGCACCTTGATGTCAAAACAACATAAAAAAACATATAAAAACACATTTAAAAATGCTAATTTAATTGACAACCTTGATGTCAAAACCACAACAAATTAATTAAGATATTAAAAATAAATAATCTTAGATGATTCCCCACTCTTTAAAATAAAATAAAATTAAACAGAATTATTGTAATTTGAAGGAGACGCTGACAACAGAGGTGCAGATCCAAATGCAAGCAAGGGTTAACACAAGGGCAAACAGATGCACACAGGCAAATCCAGAGTCATGGTCATACAAGAAGATGGTCAAAAGGCAGGCAGCAGACAACGTAAAAACAAACAAAACAAAGCAAGGCTCAAACTAGGAAGGCGAGGCAAGGAAACAGTGTTGTAATGTTCACAAACAGTATAACAAGACTCAGCCCAAAAGTGTGTGGCTTGTATTTAAAGTCCTAGTAATCAGTCTGACAATCCTCCGGCTGTGTGTTTGCAGTCAGGATCAGTGTGTGAGGTGTGTGAGGTGCATGACTGGAACTTGTAGTCCATATAATGGCGGATATGTAGTTCTATGCGACCTGTGTGTTTACCAGCGATCTGCCAGCATTAGGTTGCTGGTGATTGGGACAATTATATTAAATAAATTTTTTTAAATGAATTATATTAACTTTCTAACACATGGGGAAAACAAAAAAAGTACTGTATACATTGATCTAACTTAAAAAATACTTTTTTCTATCTTGATTTATTTTATTTATCATTGTAATGGAAAAGTTGCAATTTTTAGCAGCCTACCTTGATGTTAAAATGACATCAAATTGACATCTAGGGCTCTATTTTGACGGTCCATGCGCAGAGCGCAAAACGCAGGGCGCAAACGCTTTCAGGGCGTGTCAGGACGCGTTTTTGCTAATTTACGGATGGGAAATCTGCCTTGCGCCGCGGCGCATGGTCTAAAAGTGTTGAGTTTATTTTCTTAATGAGTTATAGGTGTGTTTTGAGAATAAACCAATTAGAGTCTCATCTCCCATTCCCTTCAAGAGTCAGCCGCGTCGCGCCAAGAGCGCATTCCCTATTTACAGGACACAAAGTAAGTCTAAGTGGAAAAAATGAGCATTTCGCAAGCAAACAGTTCACAGTTACAGGTTTTTTTTAACAGAAAACTGTTAAACAGAGCATCTACTGCGTGAGAATGAGAGATAATGGAACTACTTTACATTCGCTCTTGGATAGGGAAACCTTTACACACAGACATCAATTAGTCTATAAATAAATAATTTTGTTTGTTAAGCACAAATATTCGTTTCAAAACTATTTCTAAATTCAGTTCTAATTTCCAGCAAATGAATAAATGAATAATAATAGCAAAATGAGCTCAAAAACCTGAGTTATATTCTAAAACACATGATGTGCCCCATATGGTCTAAAACCTGACAAGTGGGCAAATCTAAGCTTGTTTTTAATAAAACAAATATAAATATGGATATAATAAATAATACTGCTAATAATAATAACATTATACAAAAGCAAATTGTTATGAATGAACTGAAAAAGCCTCAAGAGATGAAGAAGACATAAAAGCAGTGATTTTTTCATATTTATGTAGGCTAGAAAATAATATGTTTTGTAATATTTTAATCCTTCATATTTATATTCTATATCTATTCTTATTATATCCTATATATATATATATATATATATATATCCTTAATATTTAATTTTTTTTCATATGTAAAGATATTTGCCTATTGATCTCTTGTGCGTATTAAGCAGTGCGTAAGCGAGGCGCAACTTTGCGCCGGAGTTTAGACCGGGTTAGTTTTGGTCTAATGAAAAATCTATTATAGTTTCTCAAAATAGCAACGCGCCAGCAGTGCACCTCAGAACGCCTTCCTTTTTAGACCAGAACACCTATGGGCGCACAAATGAGCGCTAATGCATTTGCTATATAAACAGCGTAGTGCAACGCCTCAAAACGACTCTTGCGCCAAGCTGAAACTACCAAAAGATTATTGCGCCGCGTCTTGCGCCACACTGCGCCGGGTGTATGATAGGGCCCCTAATGTTGATATCAAAAATAACATCAAAAAGAGATTACAGGACTATCTTGTAATCAATTTTTGACGTGTTTTTTGATGGCAATGTTAGATGTCAGTTTGAGGATGTTTTGACATTAAGGTAGTTAACATGCTCCAATGTAAATTGGTAAAAATAAAAAAGCTTTCAGATAAATAAACTTCTTATATTATAATACTTATTTCGTCAAAAGGGCATCAATGTAATTGTGGATGTCAAAAAAACATTAAAACCTTTGCATTTTTCATTGTGTTATTTAATGTGGTTTTGACATGAAGCTATCAACTGGTTTACCTTTTAAAAATGTTCATGTTGCACAAACACTAAGCAGTAAAAATCTCTTTATTAACAGCAGAAGGCACTCAAATCCCCTGTCCACCCCAGGACCTCTCCCGCTGGGACAAACTCTTCATTATGCTGGAAGACTCTCAGATGAAGCAAAACATGCTCCATTGGCAGACTGAAGACATGGTCAAGAAAGAGATGGACTCTATACGGAAGGATCTCCATAAGCTTAACAATAACAAAGCATGTGTCCAGGCTTCAGAAAACACTTGCAAGTGCATAAGCGAACAGATGAACCGCAATATAAAGCAAGTTATGGAGCAGCTCAGAGAGGCTGCAGATTCTCATCAAGCCCAAAACAATGAGACGCTGCAGCAGCTCATTCAGCTGAGCCGACATCAGGCTTCCCGTCTCGCCAAACTGGAGTTAGGAGCAGGACTAGGGCAGGTGGCCGTGAAGTCTTTTTCTGTTTATCCAAAAGAACAAGAAGCAAGCAGTGCAGATGGTGGGAAGTTGGAGAGAGCACTAATGGCCGCCACTGCTGATCTCCAAAGGGTGCATGCCCAACTGGCCCTTTTCCAGAGAGCAACCGTAAACCGCTATCTGCCCTCAGGTACATGATTCAGCTGTAATATGTAATGATATTAACTACAGAATCATTGATGATTTCCCACTTTAAAAAATAAAAATAAAATAAAATATATAAAGGCGATGCAGTGGCGCATTAGGTAGTGCTGTCGCCTCACATTAAGAAGGTCGCTGGTTTAAACCTCGGCTCAGTTGGCATTTCTGTGTGGAGTTTTCATGTTCTCCCTGCATTCGCGTGGGTTTCCTCCGGGTGCTCCGGTTTCCCCACAGTCCAAAGACATGCGGTACAGGTGAATTGGGTAGGTTAAATTGTCCGTTGTGTATGAGTGTGTGTGTGTGTGTGTGTATGTATGGATGTTTCCCAGAGATGGGTTGCGGATGGAAGGGCATCCGCTGCGTAAAAACATGCTGGATAAGTTGGCGGTTCATTCCGCTGTGGCGAATTAATAAAAGGGACTAAGCCGACAAGAAAATGAATGAATAAATAAAATACGTTTTGTAACATTTATGCAAACAAAAAGTAATGTATAGTACAATTTAAAATAACTGTTTTCTACCTTAATTTAAAAAAATTATCATTTATTAATGGAAAAGTTGCAAGCCTTTTTAGCAGCCTTTACTCCAGTTTTCAGTGTAAAACAATCCTTTAAAAGTTATTTTAATATGCTGATTTAGTGGACAACATGTGTCCCAAAGTGACCCAACTTCTTTTTCTCCCCATATTTCTTAAAGAAATTAATTTCATCATTCGGTATTTGTGCTTATAAAAAAACATACACTCAAAAAATGATGTTTGTTGTTTGTTCTAACTACTTATTTAAAAACACAAATTCTTGATTTTTTTTGGAAAACTTAATTGTTCTATGTTTAATCCACTTAAATTTGTTAAATCTAATAAGTTAACTTAATTCTTTCATGTTGTCCCAACACAAATCGATTGTGTGAACTAAAATATTTTTACAGTATACACTCCGAAAATGACTTTTGCTTCTTTTTCAACCTACTTATTTAAAATTAGTTAAAACATCACAGTTCTTCAGGTTTCCCTTAAATTAAAAAAAAAAAAAGTTAACTTAATGGATTTGTGATGTGACAACATGAGGGAATTGTGTTGAACCCATATGTTGAACCCAGCAGTTTTTACAGTGCCATCTTTGAATATATAGGTGCTATGTAGAACCTAAAATAGTTTCCTATGATTACAAGGCAGAAAAACAATTTTTGGTGCTATTAAGCATAATTTTTAAGAGAGTTTAACACTGGAAATCTATAGGTGCCATTTTAGACCCATTTTGAGAATTAGGAGGGTGTTGGTTAAAACATTTTCTAATTTACTTAATTATGTAAAAGCAAACAGGATTTAATAATAAAACTGGGCCTATTGATATAGATATATACAGTTGAAGTCAGAATTATTAGCCCCCCCTGTATTATTAGCCCCTCTGTTTATTTTTCCCCCAATTTCTGTTAAACAAAGATTTTTCAACACATTTCTAAACATAACAGTTTTAATAACTCATTTGTAATAACTGATTTATTTTATGTTTGCCATGATGACAGTAAATAATATTTTACTAGATATTTTTCAAGATACTTCTATACAGCTTAAAGTAACATGTAATGGCTTAACTGGGTTAATTAGGTTAACTAGGCAGGTTAGTGTAATTAGGTAAGTTATTGTATAACAATGGTTTCTTTTTTAGATTATCGAAAAAAAAATATCTAGCTTGAAGGGGCTAACAATTTTGTCCTTAAAATAGTGTTTAAAAAATTAAAAACTGCTTTTTTTCTAGCCAAAAAAAAAAACAAATAATACTTTCTCCAGAAGACAAAAAATATTATCAGACATACTGTAGACATTTTCTTGCTCTGTTAAACATCATTTGGCAAATGTTTAAAAAAAATAAATAAATAAAGGGGGCTAATAATTCTGACTTCAAGTATGTATATGTGCCATCTGAAATTTTCTTTTAATATTGCAATTTTTCTCAGGCTCCTATGTCTTGATTCAGTAATTTCCCTTTTATGAAAAAAAAAAAGTTCTTTTTCTTGCTTTTAACATGAAATAACTGAACATGAACATAAGAGGTTGAGAAAAATGCTCATTGTAGAAGAAAATTGCAGATGGCACTTAGAGGTTTTTGCATCTGAACTCTTTATATATATTTACTGTGTGATGATTCAGTGCCATAATTATTCTTTCATTCCTTATTTCTTCCTTTTCTCATTTTTCAAGGGTGTGAGATGGCTTTGTTATTTCCAATGCGCTCCAAGCACATCTTCGCAGAAGTAACACCCTCCATGTCCATGTCTCTACAAACATTCACTCTCTGTCTGTGGGCCAAAGTGACTCAGGCTCTTAATAAAACAGTTCTTTTCTCATACGGAAGCAAGATAAACCCTCAAGAGCTCCAGCTTCTTCTGTCAGGTCGCTCACTACTCCTCAAGGTGGGCGGTGACACTGGTCTAGTGGAAGCTCTTGGTGTAGTAACAGATGGGCAGTGGGGACACTTTTGCGCCACTTGGAGCTCAAAGCAGGGTTTGGCTGATTTGTGGGTGAATGGAGAAAGTGTTGCCAGAGTGTCTGGAGTAGCAGAAGGCCACGAACTGCCCAGTGATGGGTTCATTTTGCTTGGACAGGAGATCAGCCGGTCGGGAATTTACAGAGATCTGGTCTCAACTGTAGTCTTCACCGGGAAGATGACAGGGGTGAACATGTGGGACCACGTGCTGGAGGCGGAGAGGATTAAAGAGTACGCCAATCAGGACGGGTCATGTGATAGCAGAGGGAATGTGATTGGATGGGGCATTTCAGAGATCGTTCCAAATGGTGGAGCTCAATATATCAACTGAGACTGCACCAATATCTACTGGCTAAAGCTGTGTATTAAGTGTCTTTTATTATATATAATTAATGCTTTTTTTGTGTTTACCTTCACTTTCATTCCAAATATAATATATGCTCTGCTTAAAGGGATATTTCACCTAAAAAATTACAATTCTGTCATCGTTTGCTCGCCCTCCTCATTCCAGATCTGTTTGACTTTTTTTTCTGTTGAACACTAAAGAAGATTCAGCATTTTGAAGAATGCTGAAAAGCTGTACCCATTGACCTCCATAGTTTTTTCCCGATTAGGAAGTTTCAACACTTTAAAAATATATTATTTATAAAAATATATATTTCCTTTATGTCCAACACAAAAAGTACAAACTTATAAAGTTTTGGAACCACTTGAAGGTGAAAAAAATACAAAACTGTTATTGAAATATATGTTTAATACTTACAAATGTGACAAACAAACAAAAAGTATTTTATAGTGCAATTTAAAAGAACTGTTTTCTGTCTAAATAAAAAAAAATCAATTATTATTGTAATAAAAAAGCTACAATTTTTATCAGCCTTTACTCAATATTTTATTGTCACACAGTCCTTTAATTCTTTAATTTGCTCACCATGAAAGTGAATTTTCATTTTTTAGGTGAACTACATTTTAAAAGGAAAAGCTCTTATCCCCAAAATACAAATTCACCTTCATGTCATTCCAAACTTGAAATGCATTTCCAAAAATCTTCATTCTCCTAAGTTATGTAAATACAAAACATAGGTTAGCAAATTTAGAGCTTCCTGATTCCATCAGAATCTTAAAGTTGCCTTGTTCACATTTTCTGTAATTTGCCTTTATAGTCATTTTTAATACAGTTCAGTTTTAACGATCTTCAGACTGACAGTCATGCTCCCTTCTAAGCGCACTTTAGGAATACTTATGCAATTTTAAATGCAGACGTGGCTGTTAAAGAATGATGACTTTTATGATTTATAAGTGGAATACTGTTACATAGGAAGCACGGTTGGGCAGTGGGCACAATTGACTCACAAAAAGAAGGTCGCTGGTTCGAGCTCTAACTGGGTCCAGCTGACATTTCTGTGTGGAGTTTGCATGTTCTACCTGTGTTGATGTGGGTTTCCTCCGAGTGCTCTGGTTTGCCCCACAAGCCTAAAAACACGTGGTATAGGTGAACTGGGTGAGCTAAATTGTCCATGGTGTATGCATGTGAATGAGTGTGTATGGATGTTTCCCAGATATGGGTTGCAGCTGGAAGGGCATCTGCTGCGTAAAACATATGCTAGATAAGTTGGTGGTTCATTCCGCTGTGGCAACCCCAGATTAATAAAAAGAACTAAACAAAAAAGAAAATGAATGAATGAATGAATCCGTTACATTTTCGAAACATGTGAAAACAAAACATATATTCATTCATTCATTCATTCATTTCCTTTGGCTTAATCCCTGATTTGTCAAAAGGGGGCCTTTGAAACTGAGAAAGAAGTTCACTCTGATCTGTATTTAAAATAATAATGTTATTAATTAAAATAATAGATTATCGTTAGGGCGACACAGTAGGTGTCCTCTGGGTGCTCTGGATTCCTGACAGTCTAAAGACTTGCGGTATAGGTGAACTGAATAAATTAAATTAGCTGTAGTGTATGTGTGTGAATGTGAGAGTGTATGAGTAGTACTGAGTTGCAGCTGGAAGGGTATCCGCTGCGTAAAATATATACTGGATAAGTTGGTGGTTCATTCCGCTGTGGCGACCCCAGATTAATAAAGGGACTAAGCTGAAGGAAAATGAATGAATGATATCCATTTGTCCACCCAAATAATGATCACGCCAATCATTGCGAGAAAAAAAGTCATTCAACAATCTGAAACCCGCAGATTTACAGCTCCGATAGACATCGTAAGAGTTCACAAGACTGTAAAATATGTGTTTGTTTCTAAAAAGTAAAGTCAAATTAGACACATAGTTTAGTCAGGTCAGAATACACTAAATCCCACAAAACACTCAAAACATAAAAACAATTAATTAATAAATTAGATGATATTTAAATAAATACATACATTTGATTCACTGAAGCATGTATTACACAAACTAACATTACTAAAAAAAGTTGACCCCTCGATCATCAATGAATAATTTGCACACTGCATGGCTGTATTTCATTCTGAATTGTTCATCCTTATACCCTAATCTCTTTGAAGGGTTAACACTCTAGAGTGGGGAGGTTTAAAGGAATGGAGGGTTTAGAACAACAGAACAAAGTCCTTTTAGACTCTGATGTTGAATGATAAAATAACCCAATGTCATTTGGGACACAACTAAACTAATGCAAGAGGGCCATCTTTTATACATGCTTTGACCAAACACTGCTCCTCAAAACGTATATATACATAAAGTTATCCATATTTAACATGTATCTACTGAAATCTAACTATAAAATATATTTTTCAAAAGATTAACACTTCCTTCAAAATCCTGCCTTTTGTGGAAAACCAAATAGGTTTGGAATGGCATTGGTGCAAGTCAACTCTCACAGACAGAAATATAATTTTTGCATGAACTTTCACTTTAACTTTTAAACATGTATGCTATACAAATTAAACAGTTTAATATTGTATTTTTATTTAGTACATTAAGGACAAAATGATTTAACTTTTAAATAAATTAGTTTAATGAACAAACAGCTAATAAATTCTAGCAGTGTAGTTGCAGTGAGCATAATTAATGGACTCCAAATGACTGAACTGCTTCTCTGTTGATCCAAATTTACATTTTAATGAGCTGGGGTGGGGTGGGGTGAGTCTGGATTTATTTACAGCACTGTGCAGGACATGATTGTTTACATTGTTCACCAATAATGTGAAACAGACTGTCCCTTTTTTATAGTTTAGTCGTTTATAATATTTGTCTGGACTATTGCTGCATAGGTGTTACTCTACTCTGACCATTGGCGGCTGGTCCAGTCTGACCACAAATAATATAAAGTGAACCCAAACAAGGCGTGTGCTTGAACCATAGTAGCAATAACTCTGAAATGAGACCCACAATTGTATGTGTAATGATTACAGTGAGCAGTACTTTCCAGTGGTGTGTGAAGCATAGAGGTCAGAAAAGTCTTTTTTACATTGACTGACCAATTTTTTCCTGTCAACAATATTTAACTAGTATTAAGGTCTAACACACCATATGTTAAAGTTGAAGTCAGAATTATTAGCCCCCTAGTTTATCCCCCCCCCCCCCCCCCATTTTCTGTTTAACGGAGAGATTTTTTTCAACACATTTCTAAACATAATAGTTTTAATAACTCATCTATAATAACTGATTTATTTTATCTTTGTCATGATGACAGTAATTAATATTTGACTAGATATTTTTCAATACACTTTTATACAGCTTAAAGTGACAATTCAATGCTTAACTAAGTTAATTAGGTTAAATAGGCAGGTTAGGGTAATTAGGCAAGTTATAACGATGGTTTGTTCTGTGTAGCCTATCGAAAAACATTTTGCTTAAAAGGGCTAGTAATTTTGTCCTTAAAATGGTGTTTAAAAAATTTAAAACTGTTTTTATTCTAGCCAAAATAAAAAAAAGACTTTCTCCAGTAGAAAAAATATTATCAGACATACTGTGAACATTTTTATTTGCTCTGTTTAACATAATATGGGAAATATTTAAAAAAGAAAAAAGTTCAGGGGGGGGGGGTAATAATTCTGACTTCAACTGTATGTCAGTTGTTGTTTTTGTATTATAGCATTGTTTAAATGTCATACAGTTTATTATTTTTTACTTTAACATGGTATCTCACATAAAGCTTGTGTAGGTTTAGAGCTCAATTTTATATATTATTTGTCAATCATCACTGCTCAAACAATTTCAGTTAAGGTCAAAAATTATATTTGTAAAGGCAAAATTGTTGTGTTTTTATATTTTATGTATACTCCCAACAAATATTTTCATAAGATTACATAACCCTGTTAAAATACAATTTACAAAACTGAAGTGTAACTCTATCCTCTCAATGAGAAGCTTAGAATCTTCTATGTAAATATATATTTTTTTTCACTTGTAGAGCTTTTTAATGTTGCTGACTAACTTTTTGTTATAAGGAAAAAAGTTCTGGAAACTTTACTTTCTTCTTGCTATATTTCTAATTAAAAATCTTATTGTTTAATTGTTATGACAAAATAAATATAGGCACCTTTGCATTCACATGTCTACTCCTAATGAAAAAAAAACTTTTCTCAAAGGTCTGAAAAAATACAAACTATAAATGGTTTATCAATAATAAGTTGCTGATCGAATATTGATCTTGGTATTTGTCTTCTGCAGTTTATCTCTCCGGGCGGTGCTGTTACATGAGATTATAGTCACAGTTGGGTGTAATTTTAATCTGATAGGATTGAATTCATATTCACACCTTGGTGACATTGTCATAACTGCAAGAAAGGTTTTATTTATGAAGAGTCATTGTAGTCATGCTGAAAACAGAATTTAAGGTAATAAGCTAAAAGACAACACTGCTGGTTTCAATTTACATTCAACATCATGAATAATAGACTATATATGACATGAATAGATTTGTTTGCACTTATTGTAAAGATGCAATACATCACCAATAAGAATATGTCATTGTTTTATTGAATGAACTGACAATGTTTGCTTTTTGTCATGTTTTTTGAAAATGTACATTTTGGTTACTCATATATATATGTATATACATTTTTTTGCTTTATTGGAATGGTATAACATTCTGTAAAGGTTTTAGCAATTGCTGTGTAAACATTAAAAAGAAAGAAATACATTTTTATATTATAATAAGCTTCAATAACATAATTCAGCTTCACTTTTTTAGCTTTTTCACATCAGGAATATTTTGATTGTTTTTTTACTTTATTGGAATTGTATAAAACTCTGTAAAGGTTTTAGCACTTGCTATGTAAACATGAAAAATAAATATTATATTAAAAATAAGCCTCAATAGCATATTACAGCTTCACTCTTTTAGCTTTTCCACATCAGGAATAATCCAGCGTGTTTCTTCATTGAAACAAGATATCAAACATAAGCATCTGGGTTTAATATTTACATTACATGCTCAAAAATTGTTTAACAGGTCATAGCAGACCATTATTACTTCATAAATATAATTGAATAGCCTACCAATAAAAACTGTAACACTACAGTACACTAAAAATACAGTACATTTTTTTCATCATAATAAAAATCTTTCATTTTCATATATATTGAAAATGTGAATATATTTTAGAGTAATTTATTATCATATACATTTAACAATTCAAGCTGCATATGTGAGATTTTTTTTATGGCAATAATCAGCAAGACATTTAAAAAATATGTCATTTTCATTTTAGGCAACAGGTGGCGCAGAGGGTAGCACGATCGCCTCACAGCAAGAAGCTTGCTGGTTCAAGCCCTGGCTGGGTCACAAGGCATTTCTGTGTGGAGTTTGCATGTTCTCCCAGTTTTTGTGTGGGTTTCCTCCAGGTGCTCCGGTTTCCCCCATAGTCCAAAGACATGCACTATAGGTAAATCGGGTAGGCGAAATTGGCAGCTTGTATATGTGTGAATGCACGGGTGTATGGGTGTTTCCCAGTGCTGGGTTACAGCTGGAAGGGCATCTGCTGCGTAAAACATATTCTGGATAAGTTGGTGATTCATTCTGCTGTGGCGACCCTTGATTAATAAAGGGACTAAGCTGAAATGAAAATGAATGAATGAATTTTCATTTTTACTTGTCCACTATACTTTTCAGCTTTAATCCAAGTGAATGCATTCGAATAAAACCAAACCTATGCGTCTGCATTTAAATTTACATTGGATTATGATTTCAAGTCTATTAAAAACATAACAGGTTTTAATATTCAATTATAACTACTGCATAAACATTTTAATGCCATACAGTCTCATAAGAACACAAAACATTTAAATAAACAATATTGAATCAAAATATAGTAAATTCTTTAACTGTAGAATTAAAAAAAAAGGTCCAGCACCAAAGTATTAACCCTAATTAATTAAAAACACTGGTTTAAAATGAGCCTGATCTATGTGAATGCTTTAGTTTCGCGCACTGGCCTCTGGGTGGCACTGCACTCAAAAGGGAGGAGTTGGCGAGAAAAAAACGGACTTTAATGATAGTCCTTTCAGAATGACACGTATGAAAGTTTTGAAAAAGCCAATTCATAGCCATTAGTCGGACTTACTTTTTCCGTAAGGGCTAAGTAGCCTATAATTACAGCTAGCTGTAAGAGAAAAGTATGTAAGAAAGCAACTGGTGCGTCCATTAAAGGGACAGCAACGCGAGCAGAAAAAAATAAACAGACGGATCATTGTGGCTTTCCTAAACATTTACGTCTCTGAAGAATCGGATGGCACATAGTCTATACTGTCTACTCAAGAAGAGGAGGAAAAAAGATGGGGAAAGGGATTTGTTCGAGACGACAGAGAAGAATATTTCAGTCTTTCCTCCTTGTCATCTTCGTCTGCGGGACGTTGTGCGCCTTCATGATCTCATATGAGATGCATAAAGAGCTGAAAAAGACTGAGGCGACCGCTTTGAAGTACCAGCAGCATCAAGAGTCTCTTTCTGCGCAGCTGCAAGGTACAAAATTAATCAAAAGATCCTACAGCGAAGGCACGTTGTATTAGATGTTTGATTAGGGCTTATCTGATTGTTTGGAGAAATCTGATGGGAGCCTCCGGAGATTTCCATTCAAAATGTTTTGGCCTGTTTGTTAATTCCTCTTATCCACGCATAATATTTGGCGCAGGATAATAGAGCAGCTAATACGCATCATCACAACATAAGCATTTTTTTTTGTGAACAACATTCCTTGAGAATACTGATTTGCTTTCTGTCTCTAAGCTTTTGAATGGGCTCCTTTGACAGACGTTGGTTATCACTACACTGAGGATTTTCACCTCTCTGTGCCATATTATGGTGTTAGTATCATTGAAACCTGTCAACTACTATCCAGATCACATCTGTTTCATTATGGAATTATTTTAAGGACATATAAACTCACATTTCTGTCTTTAATCTATTTTTTTTTATTTTGCCATTTAAAATAAATTATAATTACAAGTAAACATGATTCAGGCATAGCCTAATACATTACCGGTCAAAAGTTTGAGGTCTTGATTTTTAAATGTTTTAAAATATGCTTGTCCTGCTCACCAAGGCTGCATTTGTTTAATCAAAAATAAAGTATAAATTGTGAAATGTTATTGCACTATAAAATAACTGTTCAAGAGCAGTTTATAATTTAATTTCATAATTTATTCCAGTTATTTTAATGATGAATTTTCAGCTTCATTACTCCAGTATTCAGTCACATAATCCTTCAGAAATCACTCTAATATTAATTCTCCTTCTTCTTCTTCTTCTTCTTCTTCTTCTTCTTCTTCTTATTATTATTATTATTATTATTATTATTATTATTAATAGTAATAAAAGCAATAATGACTGTAGTAATAACTTCATTTGAAACAACATACAATAAGAAATTGTATTTAAAATTTAAAATTGTAATAAATATTTAACAATTTAACAAATGTTTTACATTTAATAAACACCACCTTGTTGAACAGAACAATTCTCTTTAAAAAAAAAACATGAAAAAAACTGAGCCCAAACATTTGACCGGTAGTGTATTTTTCAATAGCCGACTCTATTTTTATATATTAAAAAAAAAAAAAAAATAATAATAGTAATAATAATAATAACAATAATAATAACTTTTATTAAAGGCAAATTAACTAACTGTTAAGGCAGTACAATAAATGTGACCATGGTTTACAACTAAGATAAAAATATTTTTTTATTTTTTCCAATTTGGTGGATGGGTAAGATTGAGAGGCCAAAGGCCATTATAAAGTAGGTTAGGGCCTGTGGAGGGAATTTTGGCCAGGACACCAGGGTTACACCTAAACTCTTTACGAGAAGTGATTTTTAATAACTTTTAACATCTCATCCGTATTTTAACGTCTCATCCTTAGCTTCAGTGAGTAAGCGCTCTTGGGCTGCAGGGTGGTATGGCTGTGGCAATATACCTTAAAAACGGTATATTTTAACTAATATTTATCAACAATAAAGCTATTTTAAATTACTTTGATTGCTGTTTAGGATTATAATACTCTATAACTATTATTCCAGAAATTATACATATATTTAATAATTTTAATGAAGTAAAGTACAGGAAAATTACACTTAAGCTATAGTTAGTCATGTGATAAGATAAGTAGGCCTGATTTCTTCATACTCATAATCTAAAATTACCCAGCTGACCAGGAAGATTTTGAAGTATGCATCTTTTGGAGACTTTACTATCCCAGACTACAGAAAAGGTTATGTGGATGGCAGTAAAGTGATGCAACTGATGCTCTTAACTGATGCATTACGTCTATGCAGATTACCTTCATACTGAATAGAGCATACTTTTTTAGTAGTTGTGAGCTCATTCAAAATAAATAAATACATTTCAGATGCAGCCCCAATGCACTTTTTCTTGTCATGGTTGCTTTACATTGCACTTGCATGCCAAAATGGCAGTAAAAAACATGTTTTCTCTTTTCAGTTGTATACGAACACCATTCTAAACTAGAGAAATCCCTCCAGAAAGAAAGACTAGAGCACAAGAAGGCTGAAGAGGGTAATGTCCTGTTCATTTGCACATCAATTGATTTCCTGATATACGCGACCCACTTAATCTGGATGCGATTTGATAATGATGATGACAGATAATGAATGATAATGAGTCCAGGTTGTGCTGAATGCAGTGTGCTTGACGTTTGTTTTTAAAAGCCTCTATTGATTGTCAATACATCATAGATTTCCTCGTGTTTAAGCGGGAGTCACAGAAGGCCCTCAACAAAGAGAAGGTAATTTAAAACGTATGGTGTTTTGATTGCTAATGATGCGTAAACATGATTGAGCCGACCGAGTTGTTTCAGCTGTTGTGGATGAATAATAACTTGTGCAATTTCATTCGACCCAACAGCAAGATTCAACCTATCGACTGAATTCTCTGCAGACAGAGCACCAAATACTGCAGGTGAGATGCCATTCGTAATGGAAGCAATTACGTAACTTTGTTTGAAATATGATGTATTAATAGTGATTTTGTTAAACCTAATCATTTGCCGTTGGATTGGAATCTTGTCTATATGTCTATATCAGTCCCAACATGAAGATTTGAAGATGCAGTACTATGAGCTTCAAGAGAAGCATCAGAATCAAGGGCAGGATCATGAGCGTGTTCTGGATGAACACAGGCTGAAAATAGACAACCTGCAGAGGGAAAAGGAGGTTGAAATATCCAGACTTAAAGGTAAATTAGTCTGCTGGGGGAATGTATTCAGAGTCATCAAATTTAAAGAGACAGTTCACCCAGAAATAAATATATGTGACCCTGCACCAAAACACCACTAGTAACAAGTGTTTTTTAAATTGAGATAAATGCATATCATCTGAAAGATGAATAAATTGGTTTCCCTATAGTTTGTTAGGATATGAAAATATCGACATAGGCTCATTCTGAAAACGTAGCCCTATGTACATTTCTGGAGGTCGTGAATTATGTAGCCAGATGTACATATGGCTGCATTTTGTCTTTCAAACGAATGCTAAGAGGCGGTATGAAGCTGTTCTTTTTCATGTTTCCCAGCTGACCGCTTACCTTCGTATGGACGGCTTTCCCGCTGTTACCAATTTGTCCAGTTATTTGTCGTCATGTACGTCGGTAGACTTGAGATGCAGACAGTTGACTGCAGCAATGTGGTTTGAGTCCGGTGAAGAACAGTTCAAGAAGACAAAAACAAAAGCCAAAAACTAAAATAAACAAGTAAATAACAGTGTGAGAATGTTGTCAAATCAGAAAACGTGGTAAAAATCAGTGTGCTTTTCTTTTTCTGGATTGCTTTACAAAACACTGTCGGTTGGGCTTAGGGAAGTGGGTTGGGTGGGGGAATCAGTCGGTGGGTCTGTCAGTCAGTCTACAGCTGCCTCTGGTGGATTTATGTGAGAATAGCAGGTGCGAATGTCACAAGAGTAATTTGAGATCTCAAATGCATACACAACAGTCTCTGGTGGATTTGTGAAAATAAAAACTGCATCCAAAAAAAAAATAAAATGTAGCTCCTAGGATTTATTTAACGATCTCCAGAAATGTATATAGGTTTTCAGAATGAGCCATGGGTTGGACAATATTTGTCAGAGATACAACTAGTTAAAAATCTGGAACCTGAGTGTTCAAAAACATCACATTAAAAGTTCTTAGCAATTCGCATTATTAATCAAAAATTGGGTTTTGACATATTTATGATGGGAGATGTGTTAAATGTCTTCATGGAACATAGTCTTTACTTAATATTCTAATGATTTTGGGCATACAAGAAACTATTATAAAATAATAATAAAAAACGTCCCATATACCAATATAAGATTGGTTTTGTGGTCCGTGTCACATATTTTGTCATCATTTATTGTTTCAAACCTGTATGGACTGACAGACACAAAAAGATATTTTGAAGAATGCAGTCAACCAAACTTTTCCCAGGCTCATTATAGATACGTACCTAGGTCTACATTTCTGCGTACATCAAAATACAAAACCAAAAATGTGTGTTCTCACAGAGTCTTGTTTTTGCAAATTGGCCAGAGGCAGCTGTGTATGTTTTTTGATGATTTCAAATTTCTCTCGTGTCCTTTTCTAAATCCATCAGAGGATGCATTATACACTTCAGCCGACCAGGGGTGCGTTTTCCAAAACCATCGTTAGCCAACTAAGGATGCAAGTTCTGTTGTTACAAACAAAGTTCAGTGATTTGCCATTTCCAAAATCCATCGTTTCAACGAACATTCGCAAACTGTGTCACAAACTTGTGCACTTGCAACTATACCTCTGACCTCTGGAGCTGTAGTTAGAAACAAAGTTCCTGGCTGTGTTCTATTCCCACTTATCCCCCATGCCCTATTAATTTAGAACATTCTAACATTTAAACTTGGAATGATTAAAAATAAAAAAAAAACATTGAAGTCGTCACTTTTAGGTGTTATTTGCTTTCAAAGTATTTTTACAGTTCAGTTTTAGCAATCCTAATGTTTACAATTGCGCTCCCTTCGCAGTGCACTTTGAAAAAATTGATGTCACTTTGAACACAACCTCATGACAAAAGCTATAGGTGACCTGTTATTTAAAAGTGGAATTTATGTTACATCTCCAAAGCTTGTGAAAAAAAAACATAGCATCAATAATGCTTTTAATTTATAGTGGGTTATTTATTAAGTGTCTGTACTTTATGATATGGGACATGGTAGTTTGCATGTGTCAAATTGTAAAAGTAGACTTTTCAAAAAAAAAAATGAATAAACAATATCCCACTTAATAATCATCGTCATCATCATTAATATTAGTAATATCATTATTAAAGAAGGATTTTTTCATTTCCTAATAAATAATAAATATTACATTTCTTAATAAATGGCCTCATTATTTATTTAATATATGATTTATATATGATATTAGAACACGTGTTAGCTTTTGTAAGTGATTTAATGTTTAGAATAGAATATATAATTTTCTAAATAATATTTGTAAAGGAAATATAGGCCCTATATCTGCTATTCACATATATTTCAATTAATATGGAAAATGAGTGCATGTTTTTAACAAAACTAATATTGGATTTTTTTTAACTGCATGTCCGTGTAAAATAATATAATTTCCACAAAGAAATTATGGGGTTCTTCTCTAAAGAAGAAGTTACTTAACCGTTCAGATCATCATTATGGGCGTTTTATAAACTTCGGGTTTTGGGAAACACTTGTCACTACATCGTTCTTTTCCCAACTGATGCATCGTACTTTGACAGTTCAGCTGCGAGTTACGTACGTCGTTGTTTGGGAAACGCACTCCAGGCCAGCTTGCTGTCAACTGACTGACTGACCCATCCACCCCATTCCCTAAACCCAACCAATACTGTTTTCAAAAGCAATCTAGAAAAAAAAAGCCGTTGCAGCTGTGTGATTTTATCACATTTTCAGCCTGTTGTTAATTTATTTATTTTACCTGATTTCTATAATCGTTCTTCGCCAGACTCGAACCCCATCATCGCGGTCAACTTAGCTCCACTTCCCAAGTCTGTAAACCAAATGAAGAAGCCATCCACATGAAGCTATGCAGGCAGCTGGTAGTGCTAAAAGGAGCAGAAGCCGTTAACTGTGTCATACCACTCATAGCATTCTTTTTAAAGATGAAATGACATACCTCTGGCTACATAATTTGCATTCTTCATAAATGTAGACAGGGGTACGTATCCACAAGGAGCCCGTGTTGAAACTTTTGCTGGTCAGCATTTGAGAAAATAAAAAACTAAATATCATGTATGTTAATGAGCACCAGAATGTTTGTTTATCCAGATTCTTGAAAATATCATTTTTGTATTCAGTAAAGGAAATAAATTCATGCAGGTTTGGAATCAGTTAAAGCTGAAAAAAACATGTGTGTATTTTTATTTTTAAGTGAAATATAAAAAAATTGCTGTTAATTTACTTACTCTCATGCTATTCAAGATGTACGTGACATTTTGTTAGATCGTATTTTGTTAAATATGATTTTTAATAGATGGACCTTGGTGTATTGTATCATCAGGAGCTTCAGGTATTCATCTTGTTTTGCCTGTGTTTGTTTTGGTGTTGGACTCTAACATCTCCAGTAGCCTTTGGTATTTTATGAATCACCAAGGACCACGGATTCAGCTAAAAAATGTTTAATCTTCCACCGAAGAAAAAAACTCACCTAGCTCTTGGAGGGTGACTAAATTAACAGCGGATTTTCATTTTTTGGGTGAACCATTTTCCTTCAAGGCTCATAGCAAATCCATTTCCCTCCATATAAAATGCGCTTGACCATATACATTTGTCAGAGTCTTTCATCACCTGATTTCTCCTTGTAGAGAACGTGTACAACCTTCGAGAGGAGAACCGACAGCTGCGGAAAGCTCATCAGGATATCTACGCGCAGTTACTTGACGTGCAGGTCAGCGAAACTACAAAGGATTCTGGGATGCATTATGTGATTAGGGTTTAAAGGGAGTTTGAATTTTCAAGTTGTAGTTCAGTTAAGGACACACAGTATTTCTGGTTCAGCTTGTAATGTCGAGGATATAAACGAAATCTAGTGAAAACGTGTGGTAAATGATTTTTGAGTACTGTGATTATACAAAGATGACATAAAGAAATTGCACCATTTCAGGAACAGCACAAGAATCTGCAAGCTTCAAAAGACCATCTCTCACTGGCATTAGAAGACCATAAAAATGCAGTTGTTGCAGCCCAGGTACAATTACAGTCATCAGTATTGTTTTTATGTTTGACCGAATCAAGATATGTAGTTGTGTGTGCCATCTAATACATCACAGTCTGCCACTGCATGCCGCAGTGCTTTTAACAAATAATAGACAAATAGGCACATAAAAGAACATGCCAGTATAAAATAAACTGTTCATGTTGCTTATCGGTACTACTTCTTAACGCTTAATGTATGATGTTTGCTATTAATGTAAGACAACATTAATTGTTGTCTAACCTTTTAAGATAAAACACTACTGTTCAAAGGTTTGGGGTCAGTAGGATGTTTGAATCTCTCATTCTCAGTAAAGCTGGTCAACATACAGTAGTAACACTAAAATCGTGAGATTTTTTACTATTTAAAATAAGAGCTTTCTGTTCAAACTTATTTTAAAATGTAGTTTATTTTTGTGATGTAAACTTTTTCAGTGTCACATAATCCTTCAGAAATTCATTCATTGATTTTCCTTCAGCTTAGTCTCTGATTTTTCAGAGGTTGTCACAGTGGCATGAACTGCCAACTTTTCCAGCATATGTTATACAAAGCGAATGCCCTTCCAGCCGCAACCCAGCACGGGGAAACACTCACAAACTCTCGCATTCAAACACACACTTAAACATTACAGCCAATTTAGTTTCTTCAATTCACCTATACCACGTGTTTTCCCAGTTTGCACGGAATTCTGGCCCAGATTTGGCATAAATCTGGCACAGCAGGCATTCATCCGGCACTGGTTTGGCAGAGGTGGCACCGTCTTTAAGGTGGCACACAAGACTTGGGAAAGATGTAAATTGGTAATAATTGTAATGTGGGCCATGTAAGTTTGGCTTTTCTTAACCCACATTTAAAATACATTTTTATTATTTTATTATTTTAGAGGCTACAATCAGGTCACTTTGAGAAAAAGTATGCCCATAGCACACCTAAAGCACAATGATTCATGGGTTGTTTGGAAGCCAGATTTGGTCCAGTCATGTACCATAATTCACTGCGGCATGTGGGCCAAGCAAAAGCTGATTGTGTGGGCCAGAGCTGGGACTGAGATATTTTGCTTTGTGGGTTTGGACTGGGGGAAACCGGAGCACCCGGAGGAAACCCACACGAACACGGGGAGAAAATGCAAACTTCACACAGAAATCGACGACCTTCCAGCTGTGAGGCGACAGTGCTAACCACTGAGCTACTGTGCTGCCACTAATCCTTCAGAAATAATTTTAATAATCCCTTTTATAAGATTATTTAGAATTGGTTTACATGGTGCTGAGTGACAAAATATGTAAATATAATGTGAAAATATTCTAGGCGACTTTAATGAAGACAGATCAACTCAATATAAACACTACACAATCACAAAAACACTGATGACACGGAAGAAAGTACTGGGAACAAAATCTGAAGTCTTATATGTGTAATGTAAATATAACTAATGTATACAGAAAATGCAAATCAGAACAAGTAACAGGTGTGCAACTTAACAGAAACATTGACAACAAATAACAACTGATAAACATATCATGATTTTGCCAATTACTATGTGATCCTGGATTAACATCTATATTGGAACATCATCTTTGTTCAAAATGCAATCCATACCTACTCACTACCCCTATATAACTGTAAATTATTGCCAAAATCAGAGGGGAAAAATAGTTTTATAACTATCATATAGAAATGCATAAATTTAACCGTAAGCATAAACTGTAAACATATCCCTTAATTCTGATTGGCTGATTGGAATGTTGTTCCAGGATCAACATAGATGTTAATCCAGGAACATGTCCTACTTGGTGAAATCAGGTTGGCGCAACTGAGAACTGGGGTAAAAAAAAAACAAGCCATACAAAACACTATTAATTAATTAGGCACAGTATATAATTTTACACTTCAGGTTCTTCTGGGTGTGATCACATGGGGAAGAAACAGCGCTGTTTTTATCATAGTAAATAAAACAAATAATATTTAAGCAGGGCAACACAGTGGCGCAGCAGGTAGTGCTGTCGCCTCACAGCAAGAAGTTCGCTGGTTCGAGCCTCGGCTAAGTCAGTTGGCATTTCTATGTGGAGTTTGCATGTTCTCCCTGTTCACGTGGGTTTCCTCCGGGTGCTCTGGTTTCTCCCACAAGTCCAAAGATACAGGTAAATTGAGTAAGCTAAAATTGTCTGTAGTGTATGTGTGTGAATGACAGTATATGGGTGTTTCCCAGTGATGGGTTGCAGCTGGAAGGGCATTCGCAGCGTAAAACATATGCTGGATAAATTGGCGGTCCATTCCACTGTGGCGACCCCAGATTAATGAAGGGACTAAGCCGAAAAAAAAATGAATGAATCAATGTTAAAGCATCTTTGGTTTTTCTCCATTTTCTATAAAACCGACCCAGAAATCGAGGATGTGTGATGTCATAAGCATGGCGACACAGGATACCATCTGTGTCACTAGTTAAAATAGCTTATATCTGGATTTGAACATTCTTCAAAACATTCAGGATAATTTAATTACATAATTCAGCAAAATATATAATGAATAATGAAAAAATCTTACATATTGAGCCTTTAATACTTCCTTGCTGAATACATGATGTCATTAATTATAACAAAATCTGACCCCAAACGTTTCTACCTACTAATCATTTTCTCATTTCACATGCAGACAGATGAGTGAATTAAGTTAAGTTTGTTGAAAAATCTCTATATATATCATTGTGCTGAGCAAGTCTGCAGGAGTCTCATATTATGGCTGAATTTTCTTTTACGCCTCAGGCCTCAGGTTCAAGCTGTAATAACTACAGATGCGTTTCCACAGTCGACAGCTGACCCTGTGTGAGTGATGCATGTTTGCCTGCCATTAACATTTTAATACCGTCATTACATCTGACCGGATATAATGCGGCCCCATTCTACCATTTAGACTACTTATTCTTCCTCACCTCGCATTGCAGGTTATCATATCTTCAGCAGAATCATGTAATCGTCGGTTCTCGAATAAATCCGGGGGAATATATTTCATAACAATTATTTATGAGGGTCAGAATTTATTACGTGCAGTTATCTTGCATTATAAATTCAGCACATTTTCTCCCTGACTGTTTATTTAATTTATGTTTTCGAATCTCTCTATGCTGAGTCAGCATATTTCTCTAGTAGCGTCGGGCCTCGTATTATTTGACTTTCATTACCCAATCCAAGCATCACAAAGTATCACTTGAGGAATTTCTAACTCCATCCTGATTCAGTGTTTGTATAAAGCTTCAGGTGCAAAAGCTATATAAAGCATCCGCTGCAGCTAAAATTGATAAATTTGCAAGCGAAAGCACTGGCAGCTATAGACTAGAGACAGTAGAACGCCCAAATGAGGATCTGCATTATAAACCCATTCAGGTACAAAGGAAAATGTAAAATGTACATCGCTAAAGACTCACTCATTCATCCATTCCTTTTTATTTGCAAGAAAGCCTATAGAGGAACCTGCTGTAGACATGAATGTGTGCCGTTCACACTCTCACGTCACAAACGGATTAAGTCTTAATCCGTTTTTCGAATTATTCTCACTTCCCACCGCAGTCAGAGTATATAATCAAAGGCATTTGAGCTAGTTTGTCAACTTGAGGATGAGAAAACTCTTGTAGCTAAATGTGTAGCTGTGGCTAATGCAAGTGTCTTATCATCAGGCCACACCACACTTTGGTCATAGGGATGTTTCTCCTTTACAGGTGGAAGGATATGAGGGAAATGGAAAAGGCTTTTCCCCTCGAGGTGTGTTGGAGATTGAAAATAACAATGTGACCAAAGTGGCAATGAAGCAGCCTCGGCAAATTGATATTTTTGCTGAGGGAAACGGCAAGAAAGAGGAGAGAAGCACATCAAAGGATAGAGGAGGAGAGGATAAGGGGGAAAAGGCAGAGCTGGAACATTCCTTATCAAACCCAGAAGAGCTGGGCATTAACCCTCGCAACACGTTAAGCCAAAGCCTGGAGAAACAGACACAGACGGAGCCACTTCACACAACCAAAGCGCACTTTGAGGCTTTGGAACCAGTTCTTGCTGGTAAGGAAGGGTATTTTTGTAGCAGGTGTTGGCTTTTTTGTGATTTTTTTATGAAGCTAGGGGTTCTTGGATGAAAGTCCAGAGTGTTGCTTGATAGTTGTGTTGCTGAGATGGCCTAATAAATACATAAGGATAAAAGAAAACTGTTTATGTTTCTAGATAAGTTTTTATTATTTTTGAAATATCCCAGCAATCATTTTTTGTTTTTAAAAAAGGTTAAATAGATTTTTAATAGACGTCTATACATAGTCGTCTTGGCTAAAATAAGAGTAAATTTGGGCTGTCAGAAAAAATCTAATAGACGTCTAAGAATAGACCAAAACTAGACATCAAATAAACATAAATGAATGCCTACACATACAGTATAAAGTCTGTCTAATCTGTCTATTTGATGACTAGAATTTTGGTCTCAGATGTCTATTAGATTTTCACTAACAGCCCAAGTTTAGCCTTGTTTTAGCCAAGCTGTCTATGTTTAAATGTATATCAGATGTGTAATAAACACAAAATTACCTGGGATGCCTCTTGTGTTCACCAAGGTTGTATTTATTTTGTAAGCATACAGTAAATTCTGAAATATTAATATGTACAATTGCTGTATTTTATTGCAGGATATTTCAGAATGTAATTTTAGTAAATTGACATTTAATTTTAATCAGACTATATTTAATTTTTTTCAGTTTGTTAATTTAATGTCTGATGCTGAATTATCAGCTTCATTACTATCATTTTTAGTGTCACATGACCTTTTAGAAATAATTTGAATATGCTGATTTAGCACTTTTCCCAATACTGGGTTGCGGCTGGAAGGACATCTGCGTAAAACATATGCCGGAATAGTTGGTGGTTCATTGCGCTGTGGTGACCTCTGACTTAATCATTATTAGTACTTATAAGGCTTTGGATCCAGTTCTTGCTAATAAAAAAGGGTATTTTTGTGGCAGGTGTTGGCTTTTTTGTGATTTTTTTTTTCGAGCTGAGATGGCCTAATAAATACAGAAGGATAAAAAGAAAACAAAAGTGTTTGTTTACTCTACTGGACAAATGTTTAGAATACATACAGTGTTTAATATTTAAAAAAAAAATATTTCAGATTGTAATTTTAGTAAATTTTCATTTTAATTTTAATCCGATTATATAACAAATATATGATAATGGCAAAGCTGAATTATAAGCAACATTATTGCATTTTTAATGTGTCCTATGATATTTCAGAAATCATTTGAATATGCTAATTTAGGGCTTAATTATTATTATTATTACTCAGTCAATTATATTGGCTAATGATACATTTCAAGTTGAATTAAAAAATGAAAAACAGAATTCATTTTTTTAATTTTGATGTAATTTTGTTGAATTTATTTTAAGGTGAATATTAAAATGTATTTTAATTATCTATAATGGTCATTTTTGATTAACATATTCTTGCTAAATAAAGGCATCAGTTTTTTTTCATCACAGTCTTTAGAATAAAAAAAATCTATAATTTAATTATAATAATAAATGAAATTCTTTTGCTACAAAAAATATATATTAGAATAATTTCTGTTTTTATGTATGATATTAAAGGCAGTTCAGCCTTGGTGAGCTTAAAATACATATTTTAAAAACTTTAAAATCCTGAAATAGTAATGAACATAGCACATTTACACTACTTCTATTTTACTTTCCCAAAATACAGGCAATGCTGTGCAAACACTCCTTGGTATGGCAGGACAAGATGCAGCAAAACATGTGGAGGATGCTCAAAAACAGGTGTGTGTGATAATACTATGTAGATGTTATTGTATATACAGTACATCTAGAAGACTCTTTTAAAAATTTTTTCCTATGCTGCACTGCAGAAGAACTGCATGATCAGACAACTGAAAGCTGCCCAAATCAGATTTGAAAAGATTGATGTTTGTGTTGAAGCTGTTCAGAAATCTGTGTCACATATCGAGAGAGAAAAAATTAATTCAGACCACTTACACACTGCACGAATGTAGACAAATTGCATGCAGAGTCATAAATTAATTATTCAATAACATCAAGGCACTGTGGCGTAAACACTGTGGCAGCACTTTCTCTGTATTATTTCTTGAAAAGCTCGATTATTTGACTTTGAAGTGCAAATTAAAATTTCTTTAATGTTTTATCACAGGAAATTACATCATTTGAAGTTGCAGTTTTTCTATTAATGACTTATTCTCTCTATAAAATGACTCTTTTGAGCAGGGCATAGGGAAAAACTTGAACACAGAGATTGAGGCCAACAACCAGAACGAAGAAGAGGATGAAGAAGAAACCGAGTACAAGACTAATGCGGACAAGATCAGACCTGAAGAGGATGAACAGCTTGTGGTGAGTTAAGAAGAAGGACAAGAGCCTCTTCAATTATTTGTGACTTCTGATCTTTTCTTGGACAACTTTCTTTATTTTGTGTGTCTGTGTTTGTGTTTTAAAGCACTAAAACTATTAAATATTACATTTAATATTACAATGTCATGTAACTCTTAATGTTTCTTTAGAAATCACTGAGTGCGTTTACATGGGCACTAATAATCTGATTTTAATGCGATTAAGACAATGCTTTGATTAAGAGTCTACCATGTAAACAGCTAATTTTGATTAATTTAATCTAATTAAGGTCATAATCAAACTAAACAGAGAACGGATTAAGACATGTGGAGTATGCTGATTTTAGTTGCATTATTAAAGTTATTTAATTAAACTATTACCATCACGTAGGAATTTTCACTGCATTTTTCAACAGGATAGTCTATACACACACGGCTGTTTGACATTGTTCTCTACACCTATCGAGTCAGTGAAGGACCTCAGACACCTGCAGTTTTTTTTTTCCCATACAGCATGCGCTATCAAATTCCATTAAAACTACACTCTTCCAGCAGTTCATACTCGCATGTAATATCTCATTTGTCATGGGGGCATGCATGAAATATTCCTGAATGAAAGTGAAAGTGCCAAACTGCAGTTAAAGTTGACATAAAAAAATGAAACACCCGAAATAACATGAAACTGGAGGAGATGTGGATAGCGTAGTGACGCAATGATGGTAATCGAATTATGTGCTATAACATGTAAAACGGGATCATGAAAGGAACATTCAAAAAGCAACTAATGTAAACACCTTAATCAAATTATTGTCTTATTCAGATTAAGGCAAATAATTTTATTATCGGTGTCCTTGTAAGCGTAGTCACTGTTATCTGCTGATTTACAGCTGATTTAGAGATTCTTATTTTTTTTTATTTAAAAGTTTTTGTCACAGTATATTATTGAAATCATTTTGCTTTTTTGAGTTTTTATGCACTGCACTTCTTACTTGGACTTTTTGTTTTGGGTTTAGTTCATTTATTTATTTGTTTTCTTTTTGTCTTAGTCCCGTTATTAATCTGGGGTCACCACTGCGGAATGAACCGCTAACTCATCCAGCATATGTTTTAAGCAGCGTATGCCCTTCCAGCTGCAACCCATCAATGGGAAACACTCATACACTCTCATTCACACACATTAATGACAGACGATTTTAGCTTACCCAATTCACCTGTGGGGAAACTAGAGCACCCAGAGGAAACCCACGCGAATGCAGGGAGAACATGCAAACTCCACACAGAAAAGCCAACTGACCCAGCCAGAGCTTAAACCAGCATCCTTCTTGCTGTGAGGCGACAGCACTACCTACTGCGCCACCATGTCGCTCTTGTTTCTAGTTCAAATATCTAAAAATTCTTAAATCAAGAAGCATTTAAGTCAAAATATTGTCTTGTTTTCATGAATAATAAAGCCAAAATTAAGTGAGTTTTTCCTTAAAACAAGCAAACTAATCTGCCAATAGAGTAAGCAAAATAAACTTGTTTTCTCTTTGAAAAAATAATATTTTGCTTACCCCATTGGCTGATTTTTTTGCTTGTTCTAAGGAAAAACACGCTTAATTTGTAATTATTATTCCTGAAAATAAGACAATATTTTTACTTAAAAGCTTCTTGGTTTAAGACTTGTTCAATATTTGGACTAGAAACAAGAAAAAAAAATCGAAGTGAGAAAAACATTTTTGCAGTGTGTTACTTGTTTGTTGTTTAATATACGTTATTTAGTAGAATTTTACTTTTTTCATGAAAAGTTTCAATTTGATCAATTTAATGTTTATTGCTGAATAAAATCATTGCTTTCACTCTCTCTTTCTCATTTTGTTTTCTTAAAACTTTCATTTGAATATTTCTTTTAATATTAATAACAATAGTGATTATAAACCACTGATATTTTTATATTTAGACTATATTTGCTATCATCTAACTTAATTCTCATTCATCACATTCATTTATTTATTTTCTTTTTGGCTTAGTCCCTTTACTAATCAGGGGTCGCCACAGCGGAATGAACCGCCAACTCATCCAGCATATGTTTTACACAGTCTTCCAGCTGCAACACTGAGAAACCCCATACACTCTTGCATTTACACATATACACTACTGGCTATTTAGATTAACCTATTCACCTATAGCGCATGTCTTTGGACTGTGAAGGAAACCAGAGCACCTGGAGGAAACCCATGCGAACGGGGAGAACATGCAAACTCCACTCAGAAATGCCAACTGACCCAGTCGGGGCTCAACCTAGCAATCTTCTTGCTGTGAGGTGATCATGCTACCTATAGTGCCAGCGTGGCGCCTAACTAGCACATTTATAAAAGAAATAACATTGTCATTCATTCATTCATTCATTCATTCATTCTTTTAGGCTTAGTCCCTTTGTTAATCAGGGGTCGCCACAGCAGAATGAACCACCAACTTATTCAGCATATGTTTTACACAGCGGATGAACACAGTGACCTTCTTGTTGTGAGGTGACAACTCCCCACTGCGCCACCACGCCATCCTTCCGTTTTCATACAATTTTTTAAAAATTGCTGGAAGGAATTATTTCAACTAATTAGTTTTTACAAATGTAAGTGGATTGAACATAAAACTATTAAGTTCTTGCTATAAAAACTCATGTTGTCATGTTGTTTCAGCTCATTTTTAAAAGTTCACACTTAGTCGATGATTTATTATAAGCAAGTTTAGCATGCTGTCCCGGGAGAGAGCCCAAAAGGTCTTTGAGCCCTGGGCTCCCTGCCGTTTGCAGGGCAAGAAGGGAGCTTTGAGCTCAGGTAGATCTCAACAACTCCCCCTTTTTGATAAGAGATGATGACTACAATGATTGCTATGAAGAGATATCCTGCTGGATGAGAGTTTGACTGTATTGCTAAATTTAGATTGATCAATCCACTCGTAGTGCATGTTTTTGGAATGTGGAAGGAAACTCTTCATATCGAAGATGACTGTAGTGAGAAACCCTGGCTCTTTATAGTGTGTTAGGAATCGTCTGATTGGTGGATTATACATAGTTAATGCAGAATCAGCCGTGTTTAATCATAATCACGTGATCCTCTCAAAATTAGTTTATAAATAAACTTCACTTAAATAAGTAGTCTGAACAAACAGACGTCATTTTTTGAGTGTATGGTTCTTTATCATGCTGTAGCATTTAAAATCATTATGCTTAGGGATTTAAACCAAATATTATAGAATATTAATATTTTATATTTTAAAAAACTGTTAGCCTGTTGAGGAATTTGCCGTTGTATATGCTTTAGCTCAATCCACTGGTGGGAAGTGATAAGCAGATTACTGATGCATTATATCAATAGGTGGCAGGCAATCCAGAGCCGGATGAGCAATATGTGGACGATGTGGAGGAAGAGGTGAGGCAATACAGCCATTGATGGACTGGCTTGCTGAGTACAAGATACAAAATGGTACTTGAAAAATGACTTGTTCCCTTCATCCATTAGACTCTTGATGAATCCGTTCTTAACAGACAGAAGAGAGCGGAGGAAGACGAGAGCGAAGAAGATCTCTACACTGAACGTGATGGAGTACAGGTCAGACAAACACTCTGTCCAGCAGTCAGAGAACAGGGAGGGAAACAAGTAGAGAGGAATCTGTTCTTTGTACTTTAGCTAAAATGTTTAAATGTATAGCAGTCAAAAGTTTGGAATCAGGATTTTTTACATTTTGTTTTAAAGAAGGCTGCTCAAAAATGCTGTAAAAACAGCAATGTTGTGATATATTAATAACATTTAAAACTTTTTCAACTTGTATATATTTTTTACATGAAACCAATGACAGCAAAAGACATATACAGTTAAAGTCAGAATTATTAGCCCTCCTGTTTATTTTTCCCCCAATTTCTGTTTAATGAAGAGAAGATTTTTTTCAACACATTTCTAAACATAGTAGTTTTAATAACTCATTTCTAATAACTAATCTATTTTATCTTTGATATGATGACAGTAAACAATGTTTGAGTAGATATTTTCCAAGACACTTCTATACAGCTTAAAGTGACAATTAAAGGCTTAACTAGGTTAATTAGGTTAATTGGGCGGGATAGGGTAATTAGGCAAGTCATTGTATATTGACGGTTTGTTCTGCAGACTATTGAAAAAAATCTAGCTCAAAGGGGCTAATAACTTTAAACTTATTATTTTTATAACTTTAACTAAAACTTTTATTCTAGATAAAATAAAACAAATAAGACTTTGTCCAGAAGAAGAAATATTACCAGACATACTGTAAAAATTTCCTTGCTCTGTTAAACATCATTTGGGAAATAGAAAAATCAAAAAATCAAAGACGGGCTAATAATTGACTTCAACTGTACATACATACGTATGCATAATGTTTTCTGTTTTCATATTTTTTATGATCAAATTAATTTCTGTAATTTTAAAGATGAATTTACTGCAGTCTTCAGTGTCACACAATCATTCAGAAATCTCTATAATATGATGGTTTTTTGTTTTGATCAGTTACTAATTGTTATTACTAATTATTTGTATATATATATATATATATCAATGTTGAAAACTTTTTCCCTGCTTTTGTTTAGTAAAAATAACACATTTACTTATTTAAAGATTTTTTTTAACTAATTGTCCTTGATGGATAAAAATAAATGAAAATATTTAAATGGTACCTTTGTATGATACTGCACAGTTTCTAGAAAATGATGAAGCAGCTCAACAATTTTCATCACTGATAAAAATAAAAAGTATTTCTTGTGCAGTAGTAAATCAAATTAAAATCACAGAAACAATTATAAAACAATGAATTGAAACTGTATTGTACTGTATTTTAGATTAAATAAACCCAGCCTTTATGAGAAGAATAGACATCTTTTAAAAATATTTTTAAAGTCCCCAAGAAATCAAAAATCAAAATTTATCCAAAGCGACTTACAAATGAGGACAATTGCTACATTGCTAGCTTTGGGCTTGAACAAATACATCTGTGCATGGCATTAAGAATAAAAGTTTGCCCTTCTAATCTTAAATTGAATTCTGTTAAAGTACTTTTTGTTTTTTCAGTTAAATTATCACATTATATCTTAGGCATGGTTAACATTTAATCATGCTGTACTCCAACTGTCAGTTTTGAGAACAAACAGAAATGGTGAAGATCAGGTGTCTGTTAAGTTGTAATGATTCTCCCCAACATCTTTTCCTGACCTTTCTGAATGAAATGCCTACTTTACATCCATTCAGCTTGCGGTAAAAAAAAACAAGCCACGCCCACTGTTTTCTCTTTTAATATTCTGTTTCTCTCAGAACTGCATCACAATACGAAAACAATAACGGTTGCAACTTCCGGTTCATGGGGACTTTAAAATCTTTCTGATTTCAAACTTTTGTCCAGTAGTGCAGTTAGAAATTAAATGCACTAAAATATTTATAAAAATAGTGCACTTTGAGAATAAAGGAATTTAATTATTGTACAGTTGTTTTTCTAAATGATTATTATTACAATTATTGTTTCAGGATCATGCAAACCCAGAATCAGAAACGTTTGCCAATCAGGAGTACTTTAAAGAAAAACTAATAAAAAGAGGATGAAAGAGGAAAAAAGAAATCAAAAGACTGAGATGTCCTGTCTTCTGAGTGGCTTTACACATCTCTTCTTGACTGGCGGAAACTTAAAGTACAACTGCAACAACTCTAAAGAACTGACTACTTGTGCTTATGCAAGACTTATGCAAGGATTTGTTCAGCATTTATTTTTAATCAAGGCTTTGTGTCTTCTTGATCTTACTAAGGCGATAGGAACTGGCATCCTGCTGATATGCATTCAATATGTCGATGAATATTTGAATGATTTCTTTTGGGCAGAAAAGTAATTATTATTTATTTTTTGTTTTAAATATTCATTCAGTTCTTCACTTGTAAGAAACAAGTAAAATGTGTTTAAAATAATTTTCACTTATATTTTCACTTTATTAAAAGTAGTAATGCATTATTGGAACAACAAAGAAGAGGAACAAATGAAAATGTATTGCAAAGCTTTTTGTGTTTTTATACTTTTTAACTTGTAGTACTTTTCCTGTGGTGAGTTATACTTTATTGTGAAAACTTGCACATTGGGACTAAACTTGCAAGAAACTCAAGTATTTTTGGAACTGTAGTTTTCATGTACACTGAATTACATTCAAACAGTTGCTTTTTACGTATTTACATGAAGCCAAACGAATATTTTTGTTCATTTTTTTTTAGATATTGTTGAAAAGAATAATATCAAAATGGTGCTTTAGTTAACCCCCTTTTCTCCCAACTCTTCGCGTTCTCATTTATATGAATGTGATCTGTATTTGTTCATGCAAATGAGATGCTGTGTTTATTGTTTTTCTAATAAAGATTTTACAATACTACTGCAATATTGTAAAGTATACCCAAAGCCGAATATGAGACCTCAAACGCCCACGGAAAGTGTAACCTGGTTGGTCAGGAGACGGAAGCTGTCACCTAGAAAACTTCCGACTTCCGAAGTTGAAAACAAAACACAGCTACATTTTGCTTTCCTAAATCCCCAGGAAGCGTTTAGCACTTACCTCTCCGCCGTGGGACGTCCAGGTGAAGACAAGTACAGGTATTTTTTCAAATCTGTGTTATGATCATATTATAAGTCTACTTACGTCGAGATGAGCAGATCTGTTTGCTAACTTTGATAGCCGGTTGGCTAACTACTGTGTTGCTATGAACGAGTTAGCTAGGCTGCTAACACCAGAGGTACTGGAGAAATAAACAAAGCTTGAATAACTGCAGGATTGAGGAATATGCTGATTTACGGTTTAAAAATACAATTAGATCGAAAGGAACCTGAGCGAGTTTGTCTGATAATAAATTGTATTTCGTTCATTACAATAGTCAAATAATTAGCCGATGTTTCACTAACGTTACTCTATCTATTTTCTAGTTTAGTGTCGTGGCTAACGTTAAAGCAAACAGATCGTCTTTATGTCCTGAAGGTGAAGCTTTGCTGTGTGAGGTTTGATTATTTAGGAGATGACCGTCATGACAGCCTATTAATACAATTATTTATGAAAAGTTTAGATGAAAGAGCATGAGCATTTTTCTTAGCCTGCTAATAATTGAACATATTTACATTTAGAAATTCTTCATTATGATTGTGGTGATGAGCCCTGAACCGACTGATATTATTAATTGTAAGTTGTATGTACAGAAAAGTAACAATAATAATAAGGATCTTTCTGTCACATTGTGTTAAAAGCAAAAGTTTAAGTGGTAGGGTAATATTAAAAACTTACAGTCTATGAAAAGAACAGATGTGATAACATATTATTTCTTTAATTGGATAGTTCACTTAAAAATGAAAATGTATCCGTCTTTAAGTCATCCAAAGATGTAGGTGACTTTTTTTCCTTCAGTAAACAATTAAAGATTTATTTATTTATTTTTTGCTGAAAAATAGGGTTCTTTGTGATTTGTAAAATGGAAAGCAATGACTACTGGTGCTTTTGAGAGAAGTAAAAACATACAGGTAAAAAAAAATTAATACCTGTGGCTCATGACTATCAAGACCTCAAGAAACTGAACATTATCCTTATTTCGCAAAATTACTTTTACAAAATCTTGAGCACAAGTGTGTAGATTTCTCGGAAAGATTTATCTAACAATCTATTTTTTTTTTTTAAATAAATAAAATCGAAACGTTCTTTCTTAATCAATATTGTCATCTACTTGCATAAACACCTGGGAAACTGATCAAACTAGTTAACTAATTATTAATTCACTGTACTCTTTCTAAACATTGTAGGGAACCTGACAGAAGTGTGTGAGTTGTGTGGCTCAGCTGCCCATTTTATCCAGTGGTGGGCCTCCATTGAGGATGACAATGGAAGAGATGAAGAATGAAGCTGAGCCAAATTCAATAGTCTCTATGACATTGTACGCAGTCATGTATCCAGTCTTCAATGAGGTATAAAATATTTTAAGATTGTGGTCTCAATTTTATGGACTTTTACTTTTCATTTCTATTCAGGATTCTCTTGATATAGATGCAGTGCTTCCCACAGGTTTGAAAAATACTTTTGATGGTAGCCTGATTGAAACACTTTATTTTTAAAATTAATATCAGTTATAAACTTTTTCTTTTTAATGGGTTAAAAAAACACTTGAAAAAAAATTATATATAATAGTAACTAGATTAAAACATGTATATTTAAATAAGACAAATGAGTTAATTACCCATTTCTAATGGTGTTCAAATATTCTGCAGCCAATTTCAATTTTGTCCTCTCAGAATATTTAGTAAAGATTTTCATTTAGATTTAAGAATTCATTATTTAATGTCTCTCTTGCGGCTGTACACATAAAATTAACGACAGCTTAGAAAACAAAAGCAAAATTCCGGACATTTTAGTAGATTTAGAAACCCCAGCCGGATGCAAGAAGGTGCCGGTCTCTGTGGGTTTGCAGAGCACTTGAGACTGTTTCTGGGGGCTTGGACAGTTCTCGCACACACAGAACGAGCAGTATGAAACGGATCGTGGAAGTTTGGTTATAGGGCGGGTTCAAAAAAAGTGTAAAAGGATGATAATAATAGTTAAAAAAGTGACACCAAATATACTGTGGCAGCCGTTAATAAACCTTGGCAGCCCTTCCAAATAAAGTCTATGTGTGAGAAGCACTGTAGATGATTCTAAAGGATATTTATAACATTTCTGTACTGTCATTTTTAATCAAATGGATGCATCCTCCCGGAATAAAAGCTTACATTTCTTAAATCTTACTGTCCCCAAACTTTTGAACGATTGTATAGCTTACACTGCATAATACTTAAATATGTGAAGCGCTTGTCTTTTTTTGACTTTGCTCCTATGACAGTTGGGGAGGATAAACCCGTCAGCAGCACAGACATTGCGGGCAGCATTTGTCAAAGTAAGACTTCTGAAAGTGTCCATTCATCAGCTGGCAGATGCTTATGATACAGTATTTACTTTTCTGACATTATATCTCTCTTCATCAGAGCAATGTGATGTGTTTGTTTTTTAAAAAGATTAATTTCATGCTTGACATAATGTGTGAGGAGTTTAATGCTCTTCAATCAATGCCGCTCTCTCTAAAGGCAGAGAAGGAGAACCCAGGGCTCACTCAAGATATCATTATGAAGATACTGGAGAAGAAGAATGTGGAGATCAACTTCACAGAGTCACTACTGCGCATGGCTGCAGATGATGTGGAGGGTAAGGCGAGAACATAATGTGCCTCTGGTACAATCCCTATTTCTAGAACCTTTTTTCTAATAACACTAAAAATAATATTCAGCCAACATAGTCCTTTCATTTTCTGGTAAAGATCGGAACGATATTCATGATCATGTGCATCTGTTTCAGATTCTGAGCTTTAAAAATTTGTGTCTGCCTCTGTTGTTTTACAGAGTACATGATTAAGAGACCTGAACAGGAGTTCCAGGACCTGAATGAGAAAGCACGAGCTCTAAAACATATCCTGAGTAAAATCCCAGATGAGATCAACGACAGAGTGCGCTTCCTACAGACTATCAAGTGAGTAGTATCCAATAGAGGTGGATACTAGGTCCTGGTCTCATTGAGTTACATGCGTCTATCTTAATCATAATTTAAAAATTCTTGTCATGGGCACTAAACCTGCCAGAAGGTGATACTATATAGCTTTCTTAATAAGTGATTTTTATTGAATCATTCATTCAATGGATTTACTTAAAACGGCTGATTCATTGGCTCTATCTATTCAATGAAAACCAGGTTAATTCTGAAACAAAACATCAAAGTGTTGCTCTATTTGGAACTATTTTCAATGACAACAAAATTTTAGACAATATTACGTCTAAAATGAAACTCATTCATTCAATCATTTTCTTTCCGGCGTAGTCCCTTTTTAAATGAAACTCAATTTTAAATAATATTATTAATAAATAATCCACTGATGTTTTGGAAAATGTCATTCTAGCTTATGTGATATAACTTAACTATATCATATTCAATAAATATAAAAAAACACAAACCCATGATGGGATTTTTTTGTCTTTCATAACTTGAATAATGCTTCCCAGAGATGGGCTGCAGCTGAAAGGGCATCTGCAGCGTGAAAACATATGCTGGATAAGTTGGTGGTTCATTTCGCTGTGGCGACTCACATTAATAAAGGGACTAAGCCGAAAATAATGAATGAATAAATGAACTTGAATAATAAATGATAGTGTAAAATCTAGCTGCATTCTAATATGCTTCATGACACAATGATTGTTTTTATGCCATATCCACATGTAATTTTATAAACTGAATTTTCCCTGTTTTTGTTTTTAAATAACTCTCGGCCCACATGAAAATGCAAAAAAAACGCACTATAATGAATGTTAAGGGCATGCCAAACTAACAGGTGGAGATAATGACCCTTTTATCCTGGGTTCACACCAAACAGACAATTAAAGGTGCAGTAGGTGATTGTCTTCAGAAACATGTTTTGTTGTAATAGATCTAAATGTATTTATATGTATTTTTATATTCTTTTTATATTTTTATAACTAAACAGCCCAAACAGTCTGTCAACAAATGTAGATCTGCGCAGCCTTGTTCACGCAGATCCGCCATTTGCAAGCCGTATGCACCTATATTAATACCATGCTACTTTGAATATTCGGTCTGAAATAACATGTAAGTTTGGCATAGTAATAAGTGTAATTTCCTGCTGGCCAACCACTAAGCATACAGACAAAACACATGAGAAAATGAGACCAGCGATCCTTGCATGCATGAAATATTGCACGTTATGACAAGTTTTGCTTGCTACACAAGTGAAAACAAGCTAGATATAATACAGTTTTTCGTTTAGAATTGCAGTATTATTAAGTGTACGTGATTTTAGGAGGTGTGCCTTTGGACGGCAGGGCAGGGATTGTGTTTTCAAAGGTATTATGCTAAACGGTTAGCATTTTGGCAGATCACCTACTGCACCTTTAAGTATTTTGGCTAGTAATTTGCATAAAATTCAATGCAAACAGGAGAACCGAGGCGGATTACTACTCAAACTGTGTAGAATATGCGAAAAGTTTGCCACGAACGTGCAGAATTTGCTACATTTTTGTCTTCCACCTTTGTTGTGAAACCAGCTGTGTTGGCCTATCAGAAAGGAGAAAATAATGTGCATGCTGATGTCAACTCCGGCTGTAATGTCTACATGACGACACTGTACCCAGAGTTTCAGAAAATCTTTACCCTGGCTGGAGTTTTCAAAAAGTTTAGCTTTTAGTCAACCAAAACTTTGTTTTTGTCTAGACCAGTGGTCACCAAACTTGTTCCTTGAGGGCCGGTGTCCTGCAGATTTTAGCTTCAACCCTAATCAAATACACCTGCACAAGCTAATCAAGGTCTTAC